GCAGAAAATATGTCAGTTACTGTCATGAATGCCATTTTCTCTCATGGAATTAAAGTAACATTACCTCCACGGATACTTGGTAAGAACAAATGCTTGGTGTTGGTAAAATGTTTTGTTTGTTTTTAAAGTTGTTTAAAGGCTGAGGTTGAAATTTTTATGATCAAAGATGATCAACCATTATCAGTTACTATTATCAAATACTATTTACTTTTGAAAATTGATTTTTCTTCAGATTTACAGTTTTTAAATGAATATGACATAAAATTTAGAAGATAAAATAATGTACACGTGCTGGGTATGATGGCACACGCCTTTAATACCAGCACTCGGGGCAGAGGCAGGCAGATCTCCGTGAGGTTGAGGCCAGCCAAGGCTACACAGAGAAACTTTATCTCAAAAAACCAAAAACAAAAAAGCCAATGTGTGCAGGTAGTGAAGTATGTTGTACCCTGGTGTACACAGGTGCCATCAGAGAAGGCAGAACACAGATCTGCATGGGTAGACTAGTTTCAGGGGCATTTTCAGATGGTGTGGCAAGCACAGAGGAGACTCCCATGGTTCAGAATCTCTTTAACTGTCCAGCCGAGTGGCTTGTACTGACCTTTGGTTGGTTCTCTGCTATGGTGTCTCTGCTGTGGTGACTGCAAGGCAAGTGTCAGCAGAGCCACCCAGTAGAGCTCCACATTGTCTTCAAGTGACGACCGTCTTCTACTAAAATCCCATGCTGGGTTCTCTAGCGGTATGTGGCTGTAACTGTGTCAATGAAAGTAACATTAGGATTAGGAGCACTGAGTGCCCTTGCCGAGGACCTGGGTTCAGTTCCCAGCACCCACAGGACAACTCACATCCATCTGTAACTCCCGTTCCTGGAGATATGAGACCCTTTTCTGGCCTCTATGGACACCTGCGTGCATGTGGTGCACATACATACATTAGGTATATACACACATTAAAAAAAATAAGATCTAAGAATGTAATTGATAGTGAAGCTCCTGGGCTTCAGAATGGCCATTCTAACTATGGACGTTCATTGCTGGTCTGTATAGTTAGGGACTGGGTGAGTGAGTGGCTACATTAATCTAGCTGGATCATATTTTTATTTCTGAGTTTGTTACAACAAAGTGATTTTTGTTGAATATATTTTCTGTGCCTTTGAGTTGGTATTCTTCTCCTTCTTCTATCCCTATTATTCTTA